TCTTACATTTTGGAGGGTTTGAATTCGACAAGGAGAGTTTGATTTAGCTACAAAGGGAATGTGAATTCTTGATTATCCTCTTCGTGTGTTATAAGGTCTCTAGTTTGGATGTGTTGATGTATTTTTTGGTTATTCATTGAGGGAACAAAACAGATTCTTACACCCTATAGGCAAGGGTGGACTCGCGATATTGATTGATTACTTAGTGGTTTTATCCATGAAAAGATCATAGAAAGATGTTGATATGAGGTCACGTCGGTGGACTATCTCCTATGAGAAGGTTGGGGGTTGCATGAATTCTTATGATATTCCTATGAAGAGTTTTACCTTCTACCAATGGAATGCATGTTCTATGATATGGTTTGTAGTGATGGAGTGAGATGGTACGGCTGTCGCGGGATTGAGTGTGCATTTGAGCTGATGGTTTAGGGTGCATTATGGGTGGTGCAACATGAACTTATGAAGAATTTAGCTGAGTAACAGTGTGGGATCGAGGCAGTGGAAAAGGCGCAGTCATTATGGATTTTTGGATTACGCAATTGTGGCTTAAAGCCAAGTGGGGGAGTCTACTAACAGCGATTGGGTCGTCCAGTCATGTGTTGTTATAAATTCTGGATAGAGGTACGTTAGTGATTTTATTATGACTTGAGGAGGATGTCATCCAAGATGATTTGAGCAAGGGATTGTTGGGTGCGTGTTGTATTTTGCCTTAGGGGTATATGGAAGTTATGGAAAGACTCGGGTTCGATATTCTTCTGTGGGTGTAGTGTGCAAGGTAATGGATTCGCTGGGTTGTTTCTTTTTTGGGAGTATTCATGTACTAACGAATCACTAGTCTTTCAGCATAGTTGGCTATGTATATGGTACTAGGAATGAGTGGGTAACTTTTGATAAGGTTCTAATGGTTTGAAGATTAGATATATGCTATCTAAGGATTTTCGGATTGGTGTGCAACTAAGTATTCGAGCTTTTGCATTGGATTGTGAAAGAGACTTATAAAATTTTTGTATCATTGTTGGTTCAATGAGGTAATGTTTGAGAGATGGAAGAAACAACTTCAGATTCATAAATGGTTTCTTAGAGCGGGCATTTCAGATGGAGGTAGTATTGGGTGTATGAAAAGGGATGAAGTAGCTTATGAGTCTTAGGATGACAAGGTTTCATGTTTGAATCACTTGGGATATGTTCTAATTGAGTTCCATAGTGTACTCGGAATGAGTATTTTTACCTTGAATGCGGGTCATAAGTAATCTAAAGGTGTTGGGCCAGTATAGCAACGGTTTGGTTCAGTATGGTAATGGAAATAATCGGTTCCTTTGGTATCATAGAGCTTTGCTGGTCTTTTGTGGTAATGCTATTAGGTTTGGTAGTTTATGTGGTTTGGGTGATATAGAGGGATATAGTTCGGCCTGTTTAGTTATGTGCTTATGGGTTCCGAAGGGTTGCGATGATTGTGATCACTTCTTGTGGTTGGTGTCTTCTACATGTATAGAGATTTTGTTGCCTGTTGTGATTTTCTCAGGAATCGTCCTAAGTAAAATGTTTCTAGTCAATGGAGTGTTGCCTGTAGAGACTCCTCCTACAAGAGGAAGAGTTATAAGGAGTCAGAAGAAGTAGAGTGAGGCTGAACTTGAAAGAGCCTTAGAAGAGAGTAAAAGAAAAGTTGTTGCAAAGGGAAAGAAGAAAGTGAGTGAAACTGTTGAGGCAATTGATATTGAGGACATGGACCTGGTCCTTCATCATAAAGACGAGGCAGAGGAGTTGGAGGTGTTGACTCCAAAAGAAAAAAAAAGATTTCCAAAAAGGAGTCTCCTTCAAAGCTTGTTGATTCAGAGCCTTCTGCCTTGGCAAAAAGAACCAGGTCTACCAGGAAATCTAGGAGAGTGGAAGTAGTGGAAGTAGTGGAAGAAGAAGAGAGTGAAGAAGAACAGGAAACTAATGAGGAACAAGACAAATGGTGAATTTTGGCAAGCGAACAATCTTGAAGGGTAGATTCCTCAGGGACTTGAAGGAGGAAGAATGGTGATGCTACTGGAGAAGCTAGAACTTCAAGGTTGGAAGGACATGGTCCTTCAGATGGAAGGAAGACTAGACAGAGCTAAGATTGTGGAGTTTATGGCTAACTGTGAAATCAAGAATGGAAAGGTCACCAGTGTAGTGAAAGGGGTTACTGTGAGCTTTGACGACAAGGAACTGGGAGAAATTCTAGGAGTACCTGCTGAAGGGTACAATGACTACAAGAAGCTAAAATGGCCAAGCCTAGAAAACCTTCCCATCTCTCTTGCCATTACAAAAACATTTGCTAATAATGAGTTAGAGCTACAGCCGAAGGCTGTGTACAAAAGTGAGGTGAAGCCTGCCCACAAGTTGCTGTTTGAATTTGTCAACAAGATTATGCTGCCCAGGCAAGAAAGAAGGCACATTGCCACTTTCATGGACCTGGTTCTTACGGAGTACCTGGATAGTGGGAGGAATATCAATTGGCTGGGGTTTATCATCCAGCTCTTGATAGGGTTCTAAGTGGAATCAAAACTCATGTCATACCCTATGGATTCATTCTCACTGTCATGCTTGCTCCCTTCAAGGTTCCCTTCAAGAAATGGGATGTTAGCATAAGCAAAGATCACTTTAGGGCCAACACCTTGACTGCATATGACTATGAAGTCCATACTGCTCCCAAAGAACCTAGATCATCCAAGAGGGTGCTTATGAACAGCGGAGAGCCTTGGTGCAGGGGAGTGGGGCTAAAGATGCTGAGATTAAGAGGCTGAAGAAGAGGTTGGTAGAAGTAGAAACGGAGAGGGATGCTATCATGACTAAGCTTGCAAAGGAAAAGGAAAATAATGAAGGCATTTTTCAAGACATGTTGAAACTCCTTTAGGCCAGAAACCAAGAACCTGGTCCTTCCCAGCCTTAAACCCTTCCTAACCTAGTTAGAAAAACCAGTGACCCGAATGAGATATTTTTTTTGTCTTTTTGCACATGGTGCAGTACTTTTATTTCCTTCTATGCTTTCTGGATGACTCTTATCAATGATAATCGACTGCTTTTGCTCTAATTGTTTGTTGATGTTTCTTAGATAACTAATATCCTTAGATTGATACGTGATACTTGACTCCATGATTGCATTTAAAATAGCCTAAATGTCCATGAGTAAGATCTAATAAAATCTGGTTATCTAACATAATTATGCAACTTTTCGATGATGCCAAAAAGGGGAAGATAGGTTGTGCTTTTGCTTTGGACTGTGATATTTATAACCTAATGAACCTGGTCCTTGATGATTTATGACTTTAAAATAGAAAGTATTCTAACATTGTGTTGATGTTAAAGTTGAGCTGAGTTGAAACATGTTTCATGCTTATGAAAAGCAAAGAGTTTGTCAGCATCAAAAAGGGGGAATTTGTTTGCTTGAGTAAGTTTGTTTTGATGATTGACAAAGAAACACATGCATGAACCAGGTCCTTACACAGTGTACACAGACACGGGCAGATTCAAGCACAAGGCATACACATGAAGGAGATAAGCTTAAGTGGTTATTTCTGATATCTCCTGAATGGAAAGGTTGCACAATTAATAACGAACAGAACTCCTTACTTGAAGAGAACTCTATCCTAGATACAAGAGGATTTAGAAGTTAAAAAAAACTAGAACTCATCTACCATGGGAGAGTATTGTATTAGGACTCTAGTTAATCCTATTCTACTAACTCTAAAAAAATCAGTTTATTCTCTTTTACAGGTGACGCACAAACACAGAAGTTAAGCAAGAATTGAGAGCAAAATAGCAAGGCATTTTGCAAGCAATTTCTATGTGATTCAAGTGTGCGAACCTGAAACTACATGAACCAGATAGAAGAACCAGTTCCAGGTGTCTGTCTTTTATTCTAGTTTTATTGTAGTAGGACTTTTAAGTTGTACCTTTCATCTTTCTCTAGAAGCAATTGTACTAGGTACTCTGAGTGTATTGTTCAAGTTAGAGTTAACTTGAAATTTCGCAACAGCCTGAAGCTGGTTGCCACAAAGGGTTAGAGGTAATCCTTAGGTTTACGAGAGTTTTGTAAACGCTGTTTTTGGCTTAGTGATTTAGTGAAGTGTTAGGAAAAATCCTATTGGTAGTAGGTCGTGGTTTTTTCACCTTTTGAGCTAGGTATTTTCAACGTAAAAATACTTGTCTTTTTTTACTTTCTACATTTATTATTCCGCAACTGTAGTATAAGGAACACATAGAAGAGCCAGGTCATTATATAATCTATGCGCGAAAAATGGAACACCGCACAAATCACCCCTCCCCTCTTGTGAGGTATTGAATTACAAAACAACAATTTTCATTTTGTCCATGATCTAGCTGAAATTAGAAAAATCTCAGTCCATGATCACATTTCGACGGGAGCTCAACTGGCAGATGCTTTAACTAAAGCACTTCCCAAAAGGTCAAGATTGATCACATAAAAAATTGAGCCTATCTTGAGGGGCATGATAAAGATGTACAGTCCTAACATGTTTAGAATCAGTAATTGATTCGTATACGTGATTAGATCTTCTTATCGTTAGGTCTCTTGGGCTTATCACACTTCTATCTCATCTATGCCTGTACCTGTATAAATACCACACTTTCTATCGACGATAAACAAGTCTTTCATAATCATATTCTAACTATTATAGAGGGTTTGTCCCACATCGGTAACGTAGCTTCCCTTTCCCCTTTTCCCCTCCTGCGGCGATGTATACAAAAAACAAAAATTAAACAAAATCCCAAATAAATAGCATGTGCAAAATTTCACTGCAATGTTTTTGATGGCTGTATGGGTCGATCTTCGAGCAATCAAGTACTGCCCTGACTGTTTTTGATTCCAAAAAGTAGTAGTAACAAAGTCAACCGTAATAAACAATTAGGTCGGTCACATGTACACAGTGCGATGCGCGCCATTGCAATTTGACAAACTTTACTCTTTTAGAATACGTGACTCTAAATAATCAAAAGTTACAAATGACGACCGATAAATAATGACATTTCTCATTCTTTGACCGGTTAAAACTCTGCACAATTACAATAATGAAACGTTAGGCCAATGGTAATGTCTCGAAGTCAAACCCTTGATTAAGAAAAGCACTAGCTATCCATAGCTTCAAATTGGCCAAGTTCATGTCTACCTCACATTCGCTCACCTGTTTATTCATTTACACAAAAAAGCAAAAAATTAATATTGCCCATATGCGAGAAAATGAATTGATAGTTAATTCATAGGTTTGTTAGGGAATTAATTAATTATATGTAAACTTACATTAAGAGTGAACGTCAAAATATAATCATCGGCAGAAGTAGCCAAGTTGGAGCTTTGAACATTGAATCCAGAAAGAGACTCAAGAGCTTTGAAAAGAGAACCAGCAACTTGTCGCCCTTTGTTGCATACTAATCTCACGTAAAAGCTTCTTTCTCCTACTTGAAAAATGTCCATCTGCATTAGTTTAGCATGTTATTACTAGCATTTTGCTTTTGATTCTAATGCTATTTTGCGTAGCATTTGGTTATAGTAAAAACAGACCTTCGATATCCTCTTGATTGCAGGATAATGAGTCATCAATTTCATTTGCTTGGTATTCTGAAATGGATTATTGTTCATTTCATTTGAGGAAGACTCAAGACCTGCTATTTCTGCCTTTAGTAACTTTGCTTGCGTTTGCAGTCCTTGTACATATAGTATTGCATCTCCTATAATGGAGGCTTTATCCATCTGCAGAGAGAAACATTCTCTTCACTCAGAACTAGGTTTAACCAAAAAAAGAAAAGGTTAAATGAGAACAAGGGCCGTGACCTCAAATAAGCTCTCATTATAGTAATTTACCTTTTCGGGATGTATGGATAGTGCAAAAATTTCATATTGTCAGTATATAAGTTAAATTCTTCAAGCATACAGCGTTCCAATTTCTTACCTTTGTTATATTAGGAACTAAGGAACGCAAGGCATAAAGCTTCTCTTTCATTCTTCCTCTTCTTTTTCGCTCGGAAATTAAAGTTCTTGATCGGTCAGTCCTCGTGCTCTTCTTTGTTGGCGTTGCCGGCAACATAGTCATGGTGGTGGTAGTTGTTGTCCCAGAAGATTCCTCGTAATCATTGTCGTCTTCCTCCTCCTCTTCTTCTTCCCGGAGCTTCATTTCTCCGGGGAGGGAAGAAAAAAGTGAAATAGGATTAGATATGTTTGTAGCATTCCAATCAAAGATATCCATTGGTGTTGGCTCAAATTGGACATCAGTCGAAGGAAAACAACCTGTAATGTGTTCACAGTCATAGTTGGGGCAAAACTTCACGATAGGGTCAGCAGTTTCACCCTTAATGAGCTCAATAAATTGTTCAAAGTTAGCCTCGTCCATGAAATTAATAAGCCCAACATCGTTAACATTTTCCATTGGCAATGTAGAATATGCATTAGCACTCTCCATTTTTCTTTTGCTATTTAATATTTCTTCTCTTTTACTGTTTCAGCGAGATGGGTTGATGGTGAGAGGTTTGCAGAGAATTTATAGATGACGGAAAGAAGTATCTTATTTATTTAGATATTTATTAGAACGCGTGAAAGGAATCGAAATAGTTACTGGTGAAGTTAGAACTAATATTAAAACCCTAAAGTAGTTGACAAATGGTGGAGATGGTGTTTTCATGTTCACCGTGACCTAGTTTTATATCATTATTCGTTAGTGAAGTGATGACATTAGATTCTTCTTAAGAAATATTGAATTGAAATATCAGATGAAGCTGCACCAGGTACTTACTACTACCATTTTTTGTTTAGCAATGGTGATGAAAGGAAGGACGTCATGACATTATTTTACTTATATTTAAGTAAAGATGCTTTCAGAATTTTTATTTATGCCTTCATAAAATAACTAGTAATTTTTATTTGTGCCTTCACTTTGCAACTGCATCAAAGTATTCTACGATAAGGTCACAATTACTAATCTTCATTGAAATCGACATGACATATTTACGAAGGAGACATGCTTTACGCATACAAATGAAGTGGAACCACGTACATATTGTTTTTTTGGTATTAGTGACGAAAGAGAGGACATCATGATCGAACTTTACTTGAACTGTATTTAAGACAAGATTCCGCTGCTGTTTTTTGTTTAATTTGAATATATGATTTAATGTACTCACTGGTCACTACTCACTTTGCAAATCCATCCAGAAGTTTAAACTTTACATAGACTACTTTTATGCTAAGGTCACAATCACTGACTTTCTCTTGAAATCGACATGATATTAAACTTAACATAAGGAAGGGGTTAGTGACTTAACATGCCAAATTGATATGTCTGTATGTCTCAAATTAGTTTACTTATATTCATGATCATTTAAGTTTTATGCTTTTAATGTTTTGTACTATCCCTGTCTCAATTTATATGAAATTATTTTGTCAATTTATATGAAATCATTTTGTCACGATTTAAAATCCTTCCTTAAGAGTCGTGATGGCACCTAATCTCTAAGACTAAGTAAGCCTACCATATACTGAGTTAACAACAGATCTAAACCAATTAACTGTTAAATATGAACCGGTAACTTATACACAAAGCCAAGAACCCAAAGAGTATATACAACATCCCAAAACCGGTAGTACAAGTTATAAGCTCTAATGAGTTCACTCGAAAATCTCTAAGTGCAACTGTTCCAGAATAGAAATAAACAGTACAAAGTAAACTTCAGAAGTTGACTCTGAGGCCTGCGAACGCGACGGCAGGTATACCTTGCGTCTCCACAGCAATACTCGATCAGCTAACTAATGATCAACGCGGTCCGAGGTACCTCGATCTGCACAAAAATGTGCAGCAAGTGTAGCATGAGTACACCACAGTGGTACCTAGTAAGTATCAAGACTAATAGCCTGTTTAGCCAAGCTGGAGAAATCAGCTTATTTTGAGAAATATTTATTTCAAAAGTGCTTTTAAAAAAGTACTTATAGAGAGAAGCAGTTTGTGTTTTGCTAATCACTCTGAAAAACACTTTTGAGCAATAATTTGTGTTTGGCCAAGCTTTTGAGAAAGTGTTTTTAAGTATCAAATTACGAATAAGGACATAAATAGATTTACTTAATAGTTAATATTATAAATAAATAAATAATCTTAAAAATTTATTATTACAGACAATAATTAAATCTTTTCATTTTATTTAAGTAAAATATGAAAATAAAATTTAAAAGTACTTAATTCTTTTAATATAAGTTAAATATATTAAAAATCATTCAACAAATATAAAAGCATTCACCCCTAAAGTCACTATATATTAGAAAGATATCCTAAAAATAATAAGAAATATTTATACATTAATATCCTAAGTATTAGGTTTAACGGTTATTTTGTATATACTATATTTTGTTAAGGGTATTTTTGGTAAGAAGAAAAATCAAAACTGCTTCTGTTTTTGCTTTTGAGAAGAAGCTACTTTTTCTGATTCTAAAAAACTACTTCAGCTTCTTCCCAAAAGCACTTTTTTCCCCCAAAAAAGCTTGGCCAAATACCTCAAGTTAGGAAAAAAAAGTGCTTTTGAGAAAAAAAATACTTTTGGCCTCTTGAGAAGCTTGGCCAAACAGGCTATAACCTCGGTGGAGTAGTGACGAGGAACAGTCAAGACACCTACTAGACATAATAACCTGTACAAGTATGAATATAAAACTAACAAGGAACAATATAAAGCTAACCATGGTAAGAATAATATTACAATACTGGCATTAAGAACTAGAAACAACAAGGAGCAATAGGTAATAACACCGTAAAGTAAGCGGAATGCAGTTAAAGTCCGGTGAAACCAAGTAAGGTAAAACAATTAACAACCCAATAAAACAACCGCTTTTACATAAGGTTTATACAGAAATTTCTCCGAGGTACCACACCTCATAATCACAAATCATGGGTTCCAAATCACGAACCCTAATCACTTGGCATCTTGTGCTCCCATCACAAATCACAATCGCACGGACAACTCACGTGCCAATACCATTAATACCTCATAACTGCACGGACAACTCACGTGCTAAGAAAGTAACAATATCCCATATCCGCACGGATAACTCACGTGCTAGCAGTAACAATATCTCATATCCACACGGATAACTCATATGCTATAGGTGCAACTCACGCACAGAAGGCAGGTATACAAGAATACATATAAATGATCAATAAACATCAAGGTTCATCTTCTTAGACTGATATGAGTGACTAATTACGGTGTATGCTTGTGCGAGTGTTCTATCACAGTTCGAGTCAACAAGTAAGATCAGAGACAACGAAATAGTATTATGTATGACTCACACATGGTAGGCACACCACTACACAAATATTATCAAGAACAATGCCCCCAGGACATCACAAATCACCCCCGACATAGCCCTATTGTCTCGTCGCGTGCGTAATAATAAAGTATATGCCCGCCTTGGTCTCGCCACACGCGCATATAATCATCCCACCTTGTCTTGCCACATGCACAAACACACATATATGGCCCATCTTGTAACACCGCATGTGCAAATATCAATAATAACAATAGCTACGGACAACATACGTGTGAACACCCCGACAATCCTCTCAACAATATCACGTGTTCCAAACTTAACAACACAATATAGCAACTCGTACCACATGTGCTCATATGTCACAATATTTCCTCAAAACAATTTCAATACCACAACCACACATAGCTCTCGGCTCAACAACACTGGTACAAAAGCAACAATAATAACACGTTAGTATGACAAGTAAATCAAGACAAGAATTACAAACATAAAGAAATGAAAGAATACAATGAAAGACATGTCAAGTAATAATGGTTTCAAATAGGAATAACTCAACAATGAGAGAGATAATGTGTAACAACGATATCAAATAAGAGTAACTCAACAATATGAGAGATAACATGTACCAATAATTTTAAATAAGAATAAGTCAATAATGAAAGAGGTAACATATAACAATAACTTCAAATAAGGATATGTCAATAATAGAAGAGATAACATATAACTTTAATTAAGTATAATCAACTACGGAAGAGATAACATGGCAAAAAAAGAGGCAACAACTTCAATTAAGGCATATAAGAGTATATTTGGCAATAAAGGGTACAATATGAACCTATAAACTTCAAAATAAGACATGTAAGGTAAAATTTAGCAATGGAGGATATAACATGATAAGACAACTTTATTTTAATATACATAAGAACCTAAGAGTCTAAACCGGTCAAATTTTCACATATAAGCCGTGTACACACTCGTCACCTCGTGTACACATCTTTCACGTAGTTCAAATAGGGAAAACAAACCAATCCCTACGGGATAGTTCCCCAAAACAACGTTAGGTAAGATATTTACCTCAAAAGTCCTCAATCAACACTCTAAAGTAGCTTTTCCTTTACAATTCACCTTCGCTCGGCTCAAATCTAACTAAAATCAACTTAATAACGTCAAATATTGCAAGAGAAATGAATTCCAATAAATAAAGCTATGATCTTTGCAAAATTCTTCAAAAGTCAACCCCGGCCCCGCCCGGTCAAAGACCGTGACCAAGGGTAGATCGCGACTACCTATAACCCCACGAGTCTATATATGTGTTTTATTTCAAAATCTGAGCATAAATCGACTCTCAAATTCTCATTTTTCAAAACATAGACAAAGTTTCTCAACATTTTACTTTGATTCTCATAATTTTGATCTTAAAACTCACATATAATCATGTAAAATAGTTGTAAATTGATCAAAATCACTTACCCACTAATTGTAGATGAAAACCCCTTCTCAAAATTATCTTCTACTGAGTGAAGGATTCCAAAATATGAAAATGAGACCAAACTCATGTCCCTCGGCTTTTATGTCCAGTTGCAAATGCAACCTAGGGTTTGTGAAGTTGAAGTTGGATTGAGTAAATTGCGATCATCGCAATTGCAAACTTTATGTCGCGATTGCGATAACTGCAGCTGGGTAAAAGAGGGGGAAATGGGATTTTAGCTCATTCCTTCAAATTCTCAATCCTAAACACCTTAGAGGCGATTTCCCTAGAGCTTTCCTTCCTAAATTCATTGGTAAGTGACTTCAATCTGTTTCTTTTCAATTACCCACTACAATTCATAAGTTTTCAACATTAAATCTAGGATTTTTATGGTAGAAAATAGGGATTTGGTTAAAATTGGGATTTTTATAAAATTAGATTTTAGACCTCGAATTGAGGTCGGATTTCAAAATAAATTATATAACCGGGCTCGGGGTGAATGAGTAATCGGGTTTCTGTCCAAATTTCAGGTTTTGCCCAAGTGGGCCTAGGGTTGAATTTTGTTAACTTTTTCAATAATGATCTGAATTGAACCCCTTTTTATTCGTGGGTAGTTCTAAGGCTTATTTTGAATTGTTTGGTTAATAATTTACTAGATTTGGTCGGTTTGGAGGCTTGTTCGAAAGGTAAGGCCGTGGTTGAACTTTGAGTTGATTGAGCGAGGTAAGTGTCATGGTTAACCTTGACTTGAGGGATTAGGACCTATTTTCCTATTTTTTACGTGATT